GAAGGAGATTACTTTCATGGACACGTGTTGATGCGAGTGTGTTTTTTTGTGGGTGTTTTCTTCGTTGGGTCCTTTTCAATAAATATTCAGTTGTCAGTTCAGCGCTCGTCCTGTGTACTCCTTTTCCTCCCGTCCTTGTCGTTTGCGCGCTGTTTCCATTATTTCTAAGGGGAGAATGGATGTGTCCGGGGATTGCACAAACGAGAGTGCGAGCAAGAGGGGACTCCCCCTTTTCGTCTTCTTTAACTGTTTGATGGAATGCGCGATTTATGAGTTGAGGAGGAAAGCTAAACAGGAAAAAGTTGGAAAAGCGTTTCATGACCCCTTTAAGTCAGCCGAGCGCTGACTCACAACTCTCAAAACAAGAGAGTTGTGAGAAATGACTTCGCGTGCCTTTATTTTTCGCTAATTTTGTAATTCTCGAAAATATGGGGCTCGCGAAGTCATTTCAGAAAAACAAAATGGCTCCAGCTTCGTACGTGGCACCCGTGTCCTTCAGTGAGCTGTTAACCCTAGATGCAATCATGCCGTTTTCATGTAGCGTGATTTGCCGTTGAAAATTCGTTTTTTTAAGCGAAGTGGCACGAAACCTTCGTCACGCGGTGGGTAAGCCAAATTCATAAAGTACAAACAAGTAATTGATTAGGCTCGATAGTCCCTGTTGCTCCTCCGGTAGATTGATCAGTTGCCACCAGCCTTATTTACCGAGCACCGACCGAACTTTAAGAAAATTGATCAGGTGTGTTTAATTAATTAATAAGTTTGTGGCATTCGCATCCTCTCCAAAAACACCGCAGCGGGAGAACCCAAACTAAGAACGATTACACTGCCCATGCAGCAGCGAGCGAGCACGCGTAGTACCTTGGGTCACTCGTAACACCTTATATAAAGTTTTTTTGTTTTGTTTTTTTCACTTACATTTTTTTTATGCATCGTTGGTTTGAAGTCTTCGGCGGTAAAATGTTTAGAGCAAACCATCGCGTGAATCAGATCTAACTTCGAGAGCCACTCTTGCCTCAGCGCGCCGGCCGCTGGATATCGCTGATACCGCTGATAGCCCGACGGTAGCACCACCTTTAGTTCGATCTCGAGGCGAGCGTTGGAAAATTACCGCAGAGAGAAGGCGGGTTTTTAGTTTTCTCCCCCTGCCCAAAGGTCATCTTGGCGATATCCCACACCACCTGGTGAGTTACAAAAATGCAGAGGGGAAGCAAATTGGCTAAAAGGGAGAGGAAAAAAATACCGTACGTCAAATTTGACATACTTTAGCGAATCGTGAAAGCGGCGCGACCGTGGCTACGTTTACATGGATGCGACAGCAGCGCATCGGATCCAGTTAGCGAATCGGATCCACTTCAACCACTGAGTAGCGGCACCTCGTGTCGAAGGATCACAACGCAAACCTCGTGACCTTCAGACTGTTTTCGAGGTGACCGGTTTGCCTAGCGGCAGGCGAAGCAAAGCTCCCGTAATCCCTCGCTCGAGCACTCGATCCGATCCGCTAGAAGAGTCTCGATTCGGATTGACCATCTCAAACCACCCCGTCCCAGTGGATCGGATCGGATCCGATCCGATCCGACCTGAGTTGTTTACATGGTAACTGGATCCGATGCGCTGCAGTCGCGTCCATGTAAACGTAGCCCGTGTAAACGATGATGATGATCATGCTTAACAGTGGCGCCATCTTCTAGCAAACGTGTGAAACATTCTGCAACGTGTAAATCCGTGGCGGCTCGTGTTTCCGGCGTACGACTGATGTAAACAAGACGGCCGGCGTAACATTTGCCGGTCGGAATTTCAAGAACTGCGAAGCTATAAACCTTTCCAGAGGCAGTCTCGAACGAAGCGATTTCCAGCACTCATCCCTGGTTTTGAGAGTGTACGTCATTGTTGCCCGACTGCGCTGAGCTGTGGGTTTTCTCGTCAGTAGGCTGTGGCAGCCTGCGTAGGAGCAATTTCGGACGCCTGTGGCGGCAAAATCGCCTCGCTTTATTTTTTCTTTTGCGTTCTATGGCGAAGAGAATTTCTCGAAATTATTAAGAAAGCGTTGAACTATTTTCGAGATCAAAAACAAACAAATGAAAGCTATTTTCGGCGAGTCCGTGCGCGACAGAACAAATGCAACTGGGATGTTTGTTTCATTTTATGCTGATCTTTTTAACGGCACCATACACTCAGCCGTGTCAACCTACAAAGATCGTAACTGCCTAACATATTTGACCACACCAGAGGATAGCCGAACCGCATGGGTATTGCCTCCTCACTATATGAAATTCAACGAGTCTCATCAATCGAACAACAAACTCACACCAGCTCGCCTGCGTCCTAACTAGGGTGCGTCCTAACTAGGGTGGAAACATGTAGGCACCCTAGTCCTAACTGTTTTTTCATATATTGTACGTACCCCACGGTGCCGCGTTATCCGAACAGGATTTGAGAAAGGTCTCAAATAACACACCATATCCAATATACAGTGCCGACGATAGTCACTTCACGACGGACGGACGGAATCCGGCTTGTCTTGGGGCACGTTTTGAAGAGTGTTTTTTTTTTTTTTTTTTTTTTTACACAGCACTAAAGCAAATGAACGAATGTGTCTATTCAGTTCCCATTCCCCGAACCCTATCAGCTACCTCTCCCCAAGACCAGGAACATAGCCGGCAAGGCTCTTCGGAGATTATCTCAACGGAAATAATCCTCGAAGAACGTCGAACGGCCCGCGTCGCGGGCTGCTTGACGTTCGCTTTCTTCGCTCGCTCTCTTCCTTCGTTTCCTGCGAAGGTCCAGCAGGCTACAAGCCCTGGTATTCCCTGGTTCTCACAGTGGAAGATTACAAAAACACGCAAGCATCCTGAAACGGCAAATAGAGTAAGCACTTTCAAGGAAAGCCGGCGAACTCCGAACACACAATGCAGATGGGGAGTCGCGCTGACCGGGTTTCCACAGCTCAGGCGGGTGGCAGAAATTTTCGGCTGATAGGGGTCGCTCGAGTCGCAAAATGGCGGCGGCCAGCGAGCTGTTTCTGCAAAGGTCTATAGATATTGGGCAGGAGATCGAACTATAGGGGGCGCTCTGACCCGTTTGTTTTCCCCACGCTTGGTGTTTACTCAACACAAGGCCTGTGCACATGCCGACAGGCCTTATGGGCATGGCCATGTCATCTTCTACAATAGAGCGCGGGGCGCAGTTTAATGCAAAAAATACTAACAATCGACGAAGCGACGTTAAGTGCCGGATCTATCCTCAAAGAATGCAAGCTTGACCCACTTCGGCTTTTGTGATGAACTGGGATCGTGCGTGCTGCATTGTTGAGTAAAGTCGGAGCAGTTTTTTTTTGAGCATTGTTCATGCAGGCCGAGTGGAAACAAAAGAGCCCCTCCTCCCCCTCGCCGGAGAACACGAACTCCAGCCGAACGCTTACGCCGCGCTCGGTATGTCGGCCGAACGCTGCGTCATTGTATTTGTTGTCCCCATCCGTGTAGTTGTTAGGTTAACCGCTTGGGGCGTCACGGTCTGTCCTCCTCCCCAATAGTAAAAAGTTATAGATATAGTAAAAAGTGTCTGAACGACCGTAAAGGTATGTGGTGTGTCTCCGTCACCTTGAACTTGAACGATCGTTCACGTTGTGTGCCGTCGAACCAAATCATTTCGTCTGCTCGCGGTCGCCACGGCAGCTAGTCTGCCCGCAGATCGCAAAAATTTACTATAGTCGGTTACAAGTCAAGAAGGTAGGAGAAGCTCCTCCCACAAGTGTGATGCGCCCGTTTCAAATCTCTCCGCAGTCGAAAGAAGAGTTCACTGGTAACGCTCCTTGTTCCGCTTCAATGGATTCCCACTTGTCTCCGATCCCACTTTTTAAGAAAGCAACCTTTGTATTCATCGGAGGGAACCGAGCCCCTGAAAGCAGCCTTTGTATCCATCGGGGGGAAGCGAATCCCCGAAAGTCGTATTTGTTTCCGTCGGTGTGGGAGAACTCTAATCTCTCTCTCGTGCCTTCCACAATGCTAAGTCAAAGTAGAAAGATAAAGCGAATATGTACAGAAAGGCAAGCCCTTCCTCGCGCGTTGGCCGCGACGTCACGGAAACGGTGGGACGCTATTGGATGCGGAGGTGGCGGAGGGATATCCGATTCCCTTTGAGGGGCATTTGCCGCTACCTTCTTAACCTGTAACTGACTATAGCATGCGCAGTTTACAGCATTCACGATCGCTTACAATTGTGAGCAGCCCTCGAAATGATTTGGTTCAACCTCTCAGATGAAGCAGACAAACAGGACGGCAAATTGCCTCCCGCTGTCCTAAGCCTAACGCTCGGCTGGGTCGGCGAAGGCGGCCGCCGAACCGACAGCCATCCTTTTTTTTTTTACCCGAGTCGTGAACGGTGCTGGCAGCGTTGCCGTGACGACTCCAGCGGCCGGAATGGGAGAAACGAACGAGAAGTGCCTCCCGACTCCCCGAACGACTCGCGCGCGCTTGCGCAGTGGAGTCGCGGATGCGTTGGAGGGCGAACCGTTCGTGCGGAAACGACCTGCTAAAACTCCCTATATAAACTACCGCCCGTTGTAAGGGGTACGGCCCATTAGCATCCATACGTTTAACTACGTAAATTAAATAAGCGACAAAAATTTGATTACACTTGCTACTTGGTAAATGGATTTCACGATGAAAAGCCACATGATTACCGTTCTAGAAACCTGCATGTGTAAGTTTTGATGCTACATTCAGGCCTGCAGCTCCCCCGTCTGTCTACAAACAAAAAGTCAGTTCCTCGAGCACATAATAGAAGTTTATTAGAAAATTCAATAAATTACAGACAACACAACACAGTAACAACGTGCAAACATCAAACCGAAAAACCTGCAAGAATTGACCTACGTTCCTAGTTCACCAGTACAATTTGCAACACAATTCTACGCGAGGCTTCTCAGGGATATGGCTGATAGGTACACACTGCGATATCTATTTGAAATATAGCTAAACTCTGGACAACTAAAAGGCATTCTAGCATCCACAGGGAATCTGGCTATAACGCACGCTGAAGCCTCCAGCACGGCAGATGAACTGCTCATCCAGAAGCTGCCTGAACTCCGCGCGAAACTGGGGCTGCGTGTTGTTGGCGACGACAAAGACAGGAGCTTGCGCGGGAGCCACAGGGGCAGGCTGGGCAAGCACAGGGGCAGGCTGTGCGACCACAGGAACAGGAGCAGGCTGAGCAAGGGGTACTACAGGGGCGGGCTGGGAGACCACGGGAACAGGTGCCGGCTGGGCGACCACAGGAACAACAGGTGCCGGCTGGGCGACCACAGGAACAACAGGAGCCGGCTGGGCGACCACGGGAACCACAGGTGCCGGCTGGGCAACCACGGGAACCACAGGTGCCGGCTGGGCAACCACAGGAACAGGTGCCGGCTGGGCGACAACAGGAACCACAGGGACAGGCTGGGCGACTACAGGAACGACAGGGGCAGGCTGGGGGACCACAGGGACGACGGGAAGAGGCTGGACGACGACTGGAGCGGGCTGAACGACTTGGGCCGGTACAGGTTGGAAGACCGGCACGCTCGGTGGACCATTGACGAGGGCGTTGCCCACAACCACGGTGTTCTGGCTGGTCGGCTTATCGACGACCGTCGGGACGACGACGGATGTTCCGGGGGGCAGGATCACGGTCGCTGGCCGGCAGGGGCACTCGGCATAGCCGATACGTGGGGCCGTGACGAAGGAGACGCGGAAGGGAGCAAGGTCGGCTGCGAAGCACCAAAAAGCAATGATCAGGGACCCAGGAAAGGCGCAGAACCTTTGATGGCAGCTAGATTGGCCTCTTGACGGCCGATAGCACCGTACCTTCGGGACAGCTTTCTGCGGCATTTCAAAGAGTGCTCTCGTACACATATCTTTATTCGGCGCTCAAAATGCGGCAGCGCAGCCAAGGGAGATATCTACGTCACGTGCCCAACTTCGACTCACTAAAACCGTAAGGTCAGGAGAGGAAGTCGTTTTGTGCTCAAAACGATAGGGACTTCTGTAATTAGGCAGGGACGCTAGGTACTTTTATGTCCCCATGGAGCTCGCCTCGAGATGAGCAAACCGGCACTGCCTTTGTCCGCATTGCCACAGAAAATTGTCCATGCTACCGCTTCAATCTATATATAATATTGCTGCCCACCTCAACCAGTTCAAAAACGAATATCAAGCTTCCAAACACTCAAAAACAAAACACTCCCACAGCGCTCACTAACACCTCTGTATTGCGTGATAAAATTCTATGCAAGACGATTTATAGAAAAAGGAAAAAGCCGCTAAACGCAAAAAAAGGGGGGGGGGGGGGGGGGGATCCCTTCTTTTCTTTCTCCTCCCTCTTCTATTTGAAAATCGTACTAAATAAAAGTAGAAGCACAGTAGGTTCGTCACGCAATAGACCCTGTCCGAAATTTAGTGTGGACACTTTGATCAGTATCGTAATCGATGGAATGGCATATGTGACGTACCAGTGCCTCCTATATAGGTTACACTATGCCTGTCAGCTTCTCTCCAAGACGTGTACAGGCCCGATGCTTCACCTCACAACACGCACGTACAGCTAGGTAGTGCCGCCTGGCGGACTTTCGATTTGTCTCGTTTTCTAGCATGTTGTATTTACCTTATTATTGAAGATATACCTATATATGTTTTTTTAACAACATTCCGAACACTGTTCTGGATGTAACCGCCCTGAGACAAAATACGAAACTACGAAACAAGAAATGACGACAATAATCCCAGGAGAAGGGGAACAAGGACAAAGGACAAACATAAATCTCCAAACACAAATAGGTGACTGGTGACGTCTGAAAAAATCGGCCTGGTCCGGGTATCGAACCCGGGACCTCTCCATTACAGGTGGAGCGCTCTACCAACTGAGCTAACCAGGGGTTAGACGTCAGTAGAGCAAACGGGTTTTATCAGGATTATTGTCGTCATTCTTGTCCAGCTCGCTTGCACCTTTGCATTTAATTGCATTATAATAATACGAAACAAGCACGGCCAGGCTTCGCTTTTGCAGCGCGAACGCGAAGAACGCTTGGCCGCTTGACCGTTTGCTCTTGCGGCAGTTTGGGGCTTTGATCACGCGCATAGAAATAGTTGGGGCTGGGCCGTGTGCGGGTGAAAAAGTAGGAAAATAAGAATTAATATTCCGTTGAAAACGGCGAGCTGTCAGGCAAAAACATTTAGATTTCTTGCTGTCGGTGCTGCTCGGGCGACATCAGTGACCCTCCTACGGAAGAGATGGTTGGCTTCACTGCACGGCAGGTTTGTACGCCTAGGTGGCTCCACCGCACGGCAACCACACGTACTATTTGCCCTCTCCCTTCCGCTTGCCAGTGCTCGGAGCTGACAGGCATAGTGTAACTTGCGGCCTTGGGGTTAATTCGAGACGTTAGTACGATGCGAGTTAGTACGACGTAGTACGGTAGTACGGCAAAATACCAGACTTCAGGTCAATTACCACCATCAGCACAGCAAAAAGGTAAACTACTATTTGAGCCGCAAGATTGCAGTGAATTTTTAGAAAGCGAGTTTTTTGAGTGCATAACGTCGACCATCATTGAAACGGTGACATAAAAAAACAGTAAAAATGTGGTAAACCTTACGTGACCATCGGGCATTAACCCCGTAAGGGACGACGCCACAACATGGTGCTCCGCTCCAAACAAACTGTTGCTAGGGGCGTTGCATGGACAAATGCATTGCGGTTCGAAGTGAGGTTAAAAATTGTCTGATAAAAAAAAAAAGAAAATTGTTTTGCAAGCATTGCCTTGTCAATATCTAACGAAAGTGATGACAAAAGCCCGCAATGAAGTTTCACAGCCAGTTTTGCCTTGCCAACAGACGACACGATGTCATTCCGTGTGCGTTCGTCGCGTTTATCGTCTGCAGCAGGCTTCTTGAGACTGCTGAAGGACAGGAAGTTGTCGTCGCAAACATTTCCGAAACAGCAAAGTCTCTGCAAACTTCTGACGTGTTGAGTGTGAAATCTAGGCTGACGTTAGACATTTAAATTCTACGTCCGATTTTTGACCGACCACTCTTTCGGAGGGAAATTCCGTCCTGTGTACTCGTCCATAGCAACGGTTTGTTTGTAGCGGTGACGTCACGGATAAATAAAATGATGAAACTCACAAGCAACGCTGTTTCCGGCAAGTCGGACACCGCAGAAACGATCACCGAGGTTACCGTTGGCGACCGATCCCAGAGATCCGGTGGGGATGAGCAGGTAAGCGTCCTTGCATTGCTGGTTCACCAGCGGACTCAGCCGGAAGCCGTTGAAGCCGTTCTCCCGGTACTGCGGGGAAGGACAGCATTACTTGCATTGGTTTTCCACCAAATTCCGTTCATCGCTCGTTGATGAATAGAACCTCCTTCTCAGACATTTCGCCTAAAGGCGGCCAGGAGTTTACTAGTTCGTCAGGTACTCAGAGTGCACTCACGATGATAGAGCAGAATCCCAGCTGCCTACGGATGCAGATGGTGTAATGCAGGCCGGCGAAGTAGTGGAACCCAGTCGGATTGCGAACAAAGTTGAAGCTGCTGATCACGTCCGACGCCTTGGTGTGATACTGAAGACAACCCTCGGGAGCTGTAAAACAAAATAAAAAAAATGGCGGCAACTTTTTTTAGTACGCATGGTACGAAAAGAGCGCGATCATTTAGATGTGTTTAGAATATATTCATCTAGTTGCAATTCTGCGGCTAAATTTAGGGAAAACTAACTAGGCCACGTGACTTAATTTTCTCGCCCGATCTAGCGGGGATTCTGAATTTCTTAGATACCCTGGGACGCCAGTGCTTGTGACGTCGATTTTTACGCAAAACTTTAAATGGGGAACTTAATTTGGGGCGTTTTGTGACGACGGGACATGTTCCAATTTTCTCGCTAAACTTAGTGGGGAAACTGAATCTGTCTTTAGGTCCCGAGACGTCAATTTCTGCGCTAAATTTAGCGGGAGGTGCACGAACTCACTACCTTGGGATTGGGGTCCCGTTAAAAAAAAAAAATATCGTTTTATAAATGATTGGTTTCGGTCGTGAGAAACCAGATAATTACCGAGGCCAGGGCTCCAGCACGAGATCTGAGTAATCCGGATGCTCCAGCGACGGTCCATGTCAGACTTGGTGTTCAGCCTCACAGACAGATAGGCCTGCTTGGCCTGGCTCATGTCAACGTACACTGTGCAGAAAAAATCGCAATGAAAACCACACGCCACAAACTTTCTCTGAAACACCTTGCACACTTGCATAAATGAATATTAAAAGGGCTTTCATGAGATGCATTGATTACTGTCGTAGGTTCTCATAAAACTGTATGAGACGGACACGATATGCCTATAAGAATTCCCTGTATAAATTTCTAGTATATAAAGGATTTGAACTAATGGAAGCTAAGTACGGCGAAAATGGCAATGATATGCCCCCTTCACATTGTACTGGAAACGTACACAGTGTGACACTGTTAGCGCGACCAAGCGAGCGCCAGCTTCCGAACGGTCAGACTACTTCGCGAACGAGAAGACTACGCGAACACTACTTCGAAGTAATCCTTGCAAAGGCACAGATGTGTTTGCACTAGCAGTGCCGCGCAATGTAGAGCAAAGTTTGCAGCAATAAAACAGGCGCTGGCATCACGCAGTACGTACTGTGTTGTCCGCTGTTCTGACCGCAAAGTGCGGGGTAACTGGCGGACTCGACGCCAGCGGACACGCTGAAGGCATCGTCGACGCAGAATCCGGCCCGGGGACCGCACGTTTCGGGCGGCGAGAGCACGAACTCTTGGAAGTCGAGCCTGAGCTGGCAGATGTCCGGCTTGGCATTCACAGTGATCTTGCACTGGCCGAAGAGCGCCTGGTTGCTCGGGTAGTCGGCGTTCCGGAACACCACGTCCTCTTGGCTCACTTCCGCGCCGCAGGACACCACGTTGTCCACGTCCGGTCCTGTGCCACCAAGAACAACTATGAAGAGACAGACATCACGCGTTGTAGACTACAGTCGGCGTGGGCGTCTGGAAAGGGGTGGGGGGCACCCCTTGGGATTCCAGGGATATTGACGACGAGATGTGTCGTTAGCAGAGGTTTGGGAGAGTTGGTGGCTCATGAGGTACAGGGGGAACACCGCACGCGCAAAACAGTCACTCAAGTCCACATACACGCACAACAGAAACACTTACGCAGCGCTGACTAACAACTCTCTGGTATATTCACTCTTTTCTCTTATATTTGTATTATATACTAGGGTCAGAGAGAATAACTGGTCTTTTTGCTTTCAATTTGAAGCTAAACCGAAAACTAACTACATTGAAATTAATTTATGCGAGGCTAGGTATCTAGCAACATAATAAGTGACAAAATATTTGTTCCGTCATAAACGAGAGCGTAACCGAAACTACATGAGCGATCGAGCCCACGCTTTGGTTTTGCATACTGGAGGCATGCGTTCGTGCAATGAAAATGTTATCCAAGCAACGCATTTCGGTTTCGCTCACATTTATAAGACGGGCTAGGGGAGGGTAAAATGTGTATTAGGGAATTAAAACTTGTGTTTGGGCGAGTTGGTTCACACTGATTTAAAAGGGTTAAAAAGCGCAACACAACAAGGACAATAAAGACACAAAGACGACAGGACGGGCGCTTGACGTTTCGCGTTCCACAAGATCGACTGATGAATCATTGCGTCCGAGCGAAACGTCAAATGATGTACGAGCAGCGTTACCGTGGCCACTTCTTTACGACGGTAGAGTGACAGCAACACGCATTCGAGGAAGTCTCTTTGACGGAACTCACGCAGGCAGCAGACAGACACACGGTCCGAGCAGCGTCCGATCCCGAGTCCTCCCTGCTTCTGGCACGTCTTGGCCATCAGGCAGACGCCCTCCTCTCCCGCGGTGGTCACGCACTGACTGGGCTCTCCGGAGGATCCTTGGAGCGTCTGAACCACGAACTTTGGTAGGGTGGCCGCGATACTCTGGCCCAGGGACGAGCTCATCATGGTATGGGCGACTGCGGAACAAAGTTCACAGGTCAAGTTACTCCCACAGACGCGTCGGATGTGTATACTACACAAGTCAGAGCGCAGCCGACGGCATACAATCCGATGGAATCGACCAAGCAGCGCCAACAGTGCAGCGTCACCCGTCACGGCGCTCCTTGTCTTGGGGAAAAAAACGCACGATCACCCCGCCGTCAGTGATTGGTTCAGTAAACGCGCAAGAGCCAAGTGCGCCATGACAGTTCGTCTGCTTCTTGCACAGGGGTTGAGATGGTGTCAGAACTTCGCGCCCTTAGTCGCAGATTAAAAAAATAAAAATAGTGGGTGGACCTTGAGGTATTTAGCATTAAGGTCTACCCTCTATCCTTCCAATCAGAACTCGGCATCGTTCTGACGTCAGCGCTTCATTGGCTCCGTCGCATTGTAGCGTCGGCATACTGCATACGTTGTGGAGCGGCTCGGGTATTGGGCCATAAAGGCCAATTCAAAATCCCTCGAAGGGTAACATGCAGAAATAGTGACGCGCAAATAAAATAAATAAGTGACACTGTACGCACGACATCGTGCTCCACGACCGGAAAGGGCTATACGCACGGCGCGAGACTTTTTCGCTTCTCGCCTGGTTTACGGGGAGGGGGCTTGGGTAAGCACGATCCAGTGAAACTTTTAGTGGCTTCCAAAATCAAACAGTTAAAAAATATATACAAAAGGGAAAAAACAGTGAGTGCGCAGGCGATCGGGTGGACATTGATCATGATGTAGAATACTCGAGGCTGTAATAAAAGCTGGGAAACTTGGTACCCAGCTATAATACCCACAACCTAATCACCGGCGTCACAAAGCAAACCTTTGTTATACAATCCCATCCACAGTGACCTTCACCTGAACCATCAACGATGATCTCAATCCCAAACTGAAACTGGGGACTTCGAACAAATCAATCCCACCGACCCACTTCCTTTCCAACCGAAGTCCCAAAGGACTGTGCTTTATATAAGGCTTTGAGGAAATATACGCAGTAGCTGAGTTTGAGACGATCTTTTCCCCTGTCATTTTTCTTCGACCAAGTTTCGCAGCCTTTACCACAGTCGCGGGTATTCTACATCACGATACAAAAGGGATTGTCAAAATGGACTGCCCAATGTTTGACGTGGCTCTGTGACCATAAAGAAAAAAATGATGTAGCCATGTGGTTACGCGGTTGCTTCACACGCAGCGGGCCCAGGGTCAAACCGCAAAGCAATAAATTTTTTTTTTTTTGTCAAGCTATGTGCGATGCTGACGAACGTATCTTGTTTTACAAGTATTGCTGTAAAAAAAAAAATTGGCGACGAAACGTCGCAGGACGACAGGGGAGCCAAAGTCCATCACTAAATTAACTAGATGGCGTGAGCTCCCCGCGTTGTGCGCATAGCATCAATCATGAAAAAAAAAAAAAAAAAAAAAAATAGGAGCGTATGAAATAGGCCGATCTCACTAAGCGTTCGGCGCATGCGTGACGCCGCCATAACTTTAGTTCACAGGAGGCCGTGCATTCCGTAATGCATCGAGTTCCCTCGATGCTTTGCGGCAGCAGCAGCGTAGTCAAACTGGCTGGTGAGATCGGTCTATGACAATGGCGAAATTGTGATCACGTTAAAGGAGTAGTAGCGACTTCCGTGCCTTAAATACCCACGTGTGGTTCAGTCTTTTTTGAAAAAATGGTGAAGAACGAAGACGAACCATACCTCGGCAAACCTCACTCATGAGGGCCCTCACTCACCCTCACTCACCCTCATCTTCACAGGTGAGGTGAGGGTGAGTGAGTTTCTGAAACAGGAAAATTCATGAGTGTGAGGGTGAGTGAGGGCCGTGAGGGCTGTGAGGGCGGTGAGGGCCGTGAGGGCTGTGAGGGCGGTGAGGGCCGTGAGGGGGGTGAGGGCCGTGAGGGCCGTGAGGGCCGTGAGGGCTGTGAGGGCGGTGAGGGCCGTGAGGGCCATGAGGGCCATGAGGGCCGTGAGGGTGGTGGGGGCCGTGAGGGCCGTGAGTGGCGTGAGGGCCATGAGTGCGTGAGTGGTGTGAGCGCGGTGGGTGCGTGAGGGGTGCGAGGGCCATGAGTGCGTGAGGGCAGTGAGTGGCATGAGAGGCGTGAGAACCGTGAGGGCCGTGAGGGTGGTGAGCGCATGAGGTGTGTGAAGGCCATGATTGCGTGAGTGCGGTGAGTGCGTGAGGCCACTTCAGATCGAGCATCTTTCTCAGCAATTTTGGTGTTAATAGCGGGTTGTTCTCTAGTTTTCCCTAGATCGGCACGAATTGCTGAGATCGGGTCCGGCTCGAAATAAGCAAGCAACTCGGAGCAATTCGAATGCGTTTGAAGCGGCTGCATCCAATCAGGGACGCAAAATATTCACGTGATACCTCGTGCCGGTGATTATGACACCAAAAGACTTGGTTCTGGTTTGAAATCGATCGTTTTTTTTTTTGGAAATAAACTGTTTCAGAAAGGTGCATTAGTATTCTTAACGATATTTAAATGCATAAAAACACGTTTATAACGCGTAATTGTGTCTAAATAGTGCAAGAAAAATAAAATTTTATGATGACGATGGCAAATCGCAGCAATTGGTGGCTGCGTGTGATCGCGGGCGGCCCGTGTTGCTGGTGTTGCGACGTAAAGTTTCTGGGCGAATTTGCCCTGTCTGAAGCTGGCCTGAGTGGCGTGAGGGCCACCGGTACGTGAGGGGCGTGAGGGGTGTGAGGGCCGCAAGGGCGGTGAGGCGCGTGAGGGCGGTGAGTGGCGTGAGGGCGGTGAGTGGCGTGAGGGCGGTGAGTGGCGTGAAGGCGGTGAGTGGCGCGAGGGCCGTGAGGGCCGTGAGGGCCGTGAGGGCGGTGAGGGCGGTGAGTGGCGTGAGGGCTATGAGTGTGTGAGGGCCGTGAGGGCGGTGAGGGCCGTGAGGGCGGTGAGGGCGGTGAGGGCGGTCAGGGCCGTGAGGGCCGTGAGGGCGGTGAGGGCGGTAAGGGCGGTGAGGACCGTGAGGGCGGTGAGTGGCGTGAGGGCGGTGAGTGGCGTGAGGGCCATGAGTGAGTGAGGGGCGTGAGGGCCGTGAGGGCGGTGAGGGGCGTGAGGGCCGTGAGGGGCGTGAGGGCCGTGAGGGCGGTGAGTGCGTGAGGGCCGTGAGATTCAGTGAGGGTGAGTGAAGGGCTGAAGGTGAGTGTGACTGTGAGGGTGAGTGAGGGGCTGAAGGTGAGTGTAGCTGTGAGGGTGAGGGTGAGTGAGGGGCTTAGGTGAGTGTGGCTGTGAGGGTGAGGGTGAGTGAGGGCGACCTAAAATGCCGACCTCTGAGACGAACAAGAACAATCGTTCGAATTTCGTCTGCAATAAAAAAAGAGTTGAGCTAGCTGGTAGTTGCACATAACTAGAGGAAAAAAGTGCTATAACACAAGGACAATGAGGACAAGGACAAGACAACGTTCTATATTTCTTGTCCTTGTCTTATAGCGCTGATTTTCCCCTTAATCATGCACGATTTTCGTCCTTCTTTCCTGGTAAAAAGCAGACGTAAAATAAACATACAAAAATTGTACCGTGCCAATATATTCTTTTTAACAAAAGGGCTATTCTCCACATGACATGAACGCTAGTCTACGTTAAAGAAACGATCGTAGAGTACAGCAGATCACTTACAGCCTGATGGCTTGGCATGATGATGATGATGATCAGAAGGCTTCTCGTGGTGCGTACGCGCAGCCTCGAAATCGGCACCTTGGCACAGGTGTGCCACAAGCAGGACAAGACACGTGGACAGGAAGTGCTGCATCTGCGGAAGGGGGCACATGTTGCAACGCTGACATCGACATCCCAGAAGAATGGCGATTCACAGCACTCCGCATCGCCTGTCTGAGAGAAGTGTCTCTTCGCTTGCCTCTGCATACATTTCCCGAGCTGTAAGCGGCTCTATGCTCAGTTCATTACTATGCTCATAATGCAGTTTGGGGTAAGCGCTCGCCGCAGCAATGAACCTTTCGAACGTGGGTGGGAGCGTGATCACGTGCGGAAACACGAATAATCGAGCACTTTTGTTTTCACCTCATAGACAGGGGGGAGCAGTTAGAAAAATCGCACACTTGACTTCGGAAAGTCTAAATGCAAAACACAACGGAATATAGTAACGGTGCAGGCGAGCGGGTGAATTTTAACCATGTTGAATAAACCTGAGTTTAGTGAGTTCTGCCCCAGTCTCAGGTTTATTCAACATGGACTACGGAATGTTCCTTGTGCTGGCGTCTCAAGACAATGCTAAAAAAAGTTTCAAAAGGCTTTTACAGGGCTAAAAACACGTAGTAGCAAAAAAAAATGAATCTAAAAAAAAAAAAAAGTCAATGAGTAGACGAAAGCGAGTGATGATGCCAAATGATGAGCCTACATCTATGCCATAAGTTCAAACTTCTTGGCGGGGGCTCGAAATAATTTTCAAACACCCGAGGGAAGTCATGCTTACGGTGAGGAACGATGAAGATGCGTCCAGCTGCAGAGAAGTCTCGCAAACGTAATGACTCTCGTTGTGATCGTCGCTCTCCCAGACACTTCACTCGCCAGTCCCCTAAGTAGCGCTACCGTCGCCGTGTGACGTACCCCACATCCTGGTGTGAGCTCCATTTCCCTCCCTTCTTACAACGGGAAGGAAGCCATTTATTTTTTACACCAATGAACTGTCAGCCTTGTGCCACGTGGCCACACTACCCGCCAGCATGGAGAACGCTGTCACGTGATGCGAAAACGACAGTTGATTGGTCCAGTTGTACGTCACAGAGCTCTTGTTCGAACTAAAAATAAAGCAAACACATTTCTGACATTTTTTTTCTCCATCCCACACCTTCTTTCTCTCTCTCTCTCTTTTTTTTTTTTTTTTCTTCTTTTAGGGATGTGGGTTGGTTTGCATATCTTGAGAGGGAGTGCTCACGGATCCAAGAGGTGACCTAGATAGTGTACAAAGAAGACAATCTCGCATGGTTGGCTT